GTTCTCCACCACTGTGTTCCATCCTCGTGTAGCATCTTCGCAAACGGTTCTGCATCTCGTCGCGTCGTATTTTATCTGCCGATACCATGACGGCATGTTTGCCCAAGGAAAGCTATTTCCTTTTGCAGAAATAAGGAAGTAATAAGTAGGAAGGCTTTTTATTTGGTTAGGACTGGGACTAGAAATCGTTAACCTCGAGGACTGCCGCACTTTACGATAAGGCACTGTGGTAGGAAGCCCTCACGCATTCCTTTTAAATCTTATGAAGACCGGTCAAAAGATAACTTACTCATTAATTTCTCAGACTGGTTTGATATTTTACATGATCATCTATACCTTCATCATTCTCGTCACGATGCTTACTCTACCACCTGGTGAGCACTTGCTAGTGCTAGCTCTAAAACTCAATTATAACAATTTTACAGTATATCTCACAGTGTTGCATTGTTGCGCAAATCATGCTCTATACCGGATGTTTCAAATGGGACCCTCACGATTGGGATCCCTGAAACAGTAAGAGATCCCTGATCTTATTCGAGATGGGATTTCAAAATAAAAAGTATATTATCATTGCCATTTTCAAAATTTGGCGTATCGCATCTTGTTCCCAATAATCAACCTTACTTTTTATTATGAACGCCATTTTGGATTTTTTCACAGGTGGATAAAGTTTTTAATTTTGATTCCAAGAACGCATATGTCCTGCATTGACATTAGGACCATTCGGCCAACAAACTGGCCCAGCGGCGCAGCGCTTTTATGCCGAATAGTAGTAGTCATGGATCATGGAATAGCTTTCACACTTCGCAACAATCAATGAAGGAACTACCAATCTGACAGCCAAATGAAGGCTGCTGTCAAACTGACAAAGCTATCTCATGGCTATTGCTATTGAGAACAAAAGTGCTGGACCGCAAGATCGCTTTACGTTGACTGAACGCTCCCATTGTCAAGCTTAATTCTTTTAAAAGAAACTAATATTTTTGTAGTTGGCCTTGAAAATGACAGTTTATCACATGTTTATCCAATGTTTTAATTTTCGAGAAGCGTGTTGAAGGACATTCAGAGAATTTGCCCATTTATCTACTTTACCACGATAAATGCGCTCTATATGAAATAATACTTTTTCGAATATTTACAACACTATCCTTAAATAACTTAAAAAGGTTTTAGCATAATGTTGTTCTTTATTTGATGGGTTAAGGGTGGGTTTCATCCAACATTTAACGGGGTCTTCGACCAATTAGGGGGCAACTTATTGAATTGCAATTTGACGGAAGCTGTCAAAGCTCTCCTAATACTCGTATCGGTAATTTCTATTGAAATATTGAATAAAATCGTAAAAAAGTGGTAGTTTTATAAATAATGTATGTAATGATGTAATACGTCTTTGAGCTTTGAAATGTATAACTTTCATAGTATTGCCAATTTATATCATTTCACAAAAAAAAGTATTTGAATGGACCAATGAAAATGCAAGAAATTAAAGCTCGATTTTTTAGCTATTTTATTTAAAAGGATGTTTTAACTGTTTTGGACGACTGCCCATGCAGGGCAATCTAGTTTTGTCTCTATATCACATACAGGGTGTTGTGCATAATACGTACCTGTAGAAATGTACCGATTTTTTTTATTTTGCAAAAAAAAGGATATCGAACGTATTCCAACTGGTTCATCATCTTTTGTCACATCAAAAGCAATTTATTTAACGATCAAACGAACTTACCTGAAGTTCGATCGTAATTATATCGATCGTCCATTCCGAAGATGTATTTAACTAAGGTAGTACGCCCATGCGTACTGCGCGCCACACATTTTTAAGATGGATAGTAGCGCGAGCGCGGATATGTTCTTCCCGCTCGCCGCCGTCCGCTGTAACTGCCTCCCCGTTTCATTCCTTCAAAGATTGTTTTTCAATGCATATGAGCAGGGTGAAAAGCCACTGCATTTCAGGGAGGGGGGGTTTCTACATCTTCGGAATGGACGATCGATATAATTACGATCGAACTTCAGGTAAGTTCGTTTGATCGTTAAATTATATCTCACGTCCATTCCGAAGATGTATTTAACTAAGGTAGATGTTCAAAGATACAAACCACAAACATATGCATTGATGTTTTATATACGAAATAAGTTGAACAAAACTGCTATCATAGCAAAGGTAAAATAAGGTGAAAATATTCTAATTTATACTCGTTGAGAGTATCGTGTTTGCAAAGTCATCATCCGCTTGTAGTGGTCGGTCGTAGAACCTTGCAAAGGTTGCCGTCTTCTGAGACCAGCCTGCAGTTTTACAAATAGTGTCTACCGACAGCCCTGCCCTACGGACTGCTGACGTTGCTGCGTGCCTAGTTGAATGAGGTTTAAATACAGTCGTATTTACTCCCGATGACATAAGTGTCTGTTTTACCCAACGGGCAAGGGTTTGCTTTGTTGCTTTTTTATGGGGTTTTACATAAGTTAAAAATAAGAAATCTTCATTATTTCGGATTTCTTTCGTTGACTCTAAGTACTGCAGCACTGTTGAGGCTGGGCATATGTTGGGATTTGGTGTGAAGGACGGGAGACTCAGAAAAGGCTGATCATTGAGGCTAAGTGACGTCTTTACTGGGTCCGTAATCATTATTTGTAATCTGGTTTCGTCTCTGTGAATGTTTGATACCCGGATTAAAGAGATCGTTTGAAGGCGGCCACCTGTTACCAGTGAAAGTAGGGTCACCAGTTTGTGGGTGAGGCTTTTAAGTTGGTTGTTAGGGAGATTTCCTAATGCTGTAAGAACTGGTTGAGGATCCCACGTGAACCTATACCTGGGGTTCATTGGTCGTCTTCTGGCTACCCCTTTCATGAACCGTTTTATCAGGGGGTGTGAACCTAGGCTATCGGAGGATATAAGGGAGATCGCAGATCTGTGGCTGTTTAAACTTCCATAATTTAGTTCAGTTGTATTGATAATGTTCTGAAGGAATTCTATTACCTGCAGGACGTTTGCCTGAAATACTGGTATCTGCTTCTCTTCACAGTACTTATACCATAGACGGTAAGTACACGCATACTGGCTGATCGTAGCTGTCGATATTGAATCGATTATGGTCTCTACCGCCTCATCCGATATTCCTCTCAGTTGAAACCCCTGCCGGATAATTTCGCGGCCACTAATGTTAATCTGTTGGCCAGAGGGTGGGTTGAACTGAAAGGAGAAGTCAGAAGATTATCGTCAGGTCCAAAAGTAACAGATCTTCCAACTTGTAGTTTCTCTACAAGCGGATACCATGCCTGGGCACGCCAGTCTGGTACTACTACAATTCCCTCAGCTTTATCCTGGATAATTTTTTGTAACACCTTCAATATTAAGCAAAATGGGGGGAATGCATAAAAATAAATATCGGTCCAGCTAATAGTAAATGCATCAACTGCGACCGAATCCGGATCTTTCCTCCATGATACATATCGTCGACATTTGTGATTTATTTTTGAGGCAAAAAGGTCAACGTCAGGAGATCCGAATTCGTGTTTTAAAACATCGAATGCTGAATCTGCCAGAGACCATTCTGTTTCGGTTGAGACTACTCTGGACTCCCTGTCTGCGTCCAGATTGTCCTTTGTGTTGACGTATGAAGCGAATACCCAAATATTTCTGGCTTGACACCATTCCCAGATGTCTCGCGTTCTGTTGTTGAGCTTGGTAGATTGTATACTGCCCAAACGGTTGATGCAAGATATTGCCGTCGTGTTATCTGATCTAATCAGAATACTGCAGTTCCTTGCATCCCGGGCGAAACATTTTAAGCCATAAAGAATAGCTGTAAGTTCTAAGTAATTTATATGATTATCTTTTTCTGGATTGGACCAAAACCCATGGGTTTTGTCGTGTCCTCTACATGCACCCCACCCCGTCAGTGAGGCATCTGTGAATATTGTCATACTATAGCCTGTCTGTTTAATATCGGCTTCCGCATTTAAGATGTTTCGCTCCCACCAGATTAGGTCATTATCTATAAAGTTATGTGGTAAGACTACTATACAATTATAGTTGTAGTTGTTCGCTTCTAGAGCTGAGCACTTTAGTTGTTCCAAACGCTTGGTGTACAACCAGCCGTACTTAACCGCAGGGCAGGCTGCGGTTAAGGTGCCTATGAACTGTGCAAGTTCTCTTATACTGCATGTATCCCTTTTTCGGAAAGACGTTGACATGTTTTTAATGGACGTTTTCTTTTCCGACGGTAGGGATATTTTCATATTTTTGGTGTCGTATTGAAATCCTAAAAATATTTTTCTCTGTTCTGGGGTCAACGAACTTTTTTCAAAGTTTATGATGAAACCTATGGACTGTAATGTGTTTACCACAATTTTTGTGTGTTCCCTACATTTTTCAGACGAGTCACTGATGACTAGGAAATCGTCTAAATAGTTGACCAACAGAATCCCTTGAGTACGCAGGTTTTCCAGGACGGGTCGCATTATTTTTGTGAAACAGTACGGTGCTGACGAGAGACCAAATGGTAAGCAATTGAATTCAAATGTATTAGAATTAAACCTGAACCTCAAATACTTCCTAAATGATTTGTCTATTGATATTAGGAAGTATGCGTCTTTTAGATCGATGGTTGCCATCCAGTATTGCTTTTGCAATAGTTTTAGTACTGTCCGAAAATCTTCCATTTTGAAATGCTCGTATTTCACGAATTCATTAAATTTTTTCAAATTTAAAATGAACCGTTTCTTTCCGTTGGATTTTTCAGTTAGGAAGTAAGTTGAAACGTACTGGTCTTTCCTCTCCGTACATGATGATACTGCTCCGATATCTAGTAGCTCCCTGATTGCCAAGGCAATCAAAGGGTCGCACTGAGTGTGGGCAGTTTGATTCTGTTTCTGAACAGGTGTTGCTAAGAGAGGGATCTTATATCCCTTAATCCAGGATAGAACTGTGGAATTGTTCGTTATACATTTCCAAGACTCGACAAAATGGGATAGTCTGCCCGCTAGCTTAGAATGACTTGCCTTTATTGGTATCTGCTCCCTGGGGGGCGACTTTGCTTGGAGGTTTGCCCTTTCCTCGGCCCCGAGTCCCTCCCTGACAGGCGAGGCGGGCGTTGCCTGTTTAAAGACGGGCGGTAGCTAGTCGCTTTATATGGAGTACGAGCATTGTATGCAGTTTTGGAGGTACCATGCTGGCGCTGAGAGGTGTGCCCCCCCCCTCTTCTGATGCCGGGTGGCCCTGCCTTGTTGCTATAACCGTCTTGTCTTAAGTCGTTCCCAGCTTTTTCTGCAATTTTTGCCATTTTAATCTTTTCTGCCAAATCGGTGCCGTATAGATATTCCCCCGGAATAGTCTCTTTGATGGTATCTTTCACCGATTTGGAGAGAAGTTGTGAAATATATTCCCTACGGGTCGTCGAGATCTCATGGAATAGCTGGGTCATGAATGTGCCCACATCTGCTAGATGTGGTAGCAAGTGCATTTTTAGATCAGAATCAACATTATTCTTGATTTCATTGATGACATAATTCATGCATTTGCCAAGCGCACTTGTACTTTTTCCCACCAATAGCTGATATCTTGCATGGCATTGGTCCCTCTTAACATATGCTTGAGAAAGAATGTGAGCAACTTCCGGGTTGACTTTTGGAGGATCAAGAGTAGGAAAATTATTGGGAGGCCTATGGCGATCCAAAATTTGATCCATATTTTCCTTTCCTATGCCTTGGGCTATTGTTTGTGACCAAACTTGTCTTATGGCATCATTGAGATGATAGGACTGTTTTGTTTCTGTGTCAGTGTCAATGCCTAATACCTCTTTAATGCACTCTGGAAGTTGCTCCGCCTCATTCTCAGTGTTTTCAGCTTGTAAATTTATGTCGTCTTGGAGTACGAGTGTATCTAGGTCATCCAGTTCCGGATGGTCTTGGTTTATAGCCGGACAGTTCGATGCCGGGCTTTTACCACTGGTGACACTCGCCGAGTCGTACGAGGCTCGGCTCATGCTACGTCGGTCTATTTTTTCTTTTGAAAATCGTGAAGAAGTCGGGCTGTTCAAAACCCGACGCTCTCTCGATGTATTTCTAGGATTTTGGTATCGATTGGAAGTTGGGCTGTGCGAAACCCGACGTTCTCTCGATGAATTCCTAGAGTATTGATATTCGGAAGTCGGTTTGTCCAAAGTTCGACGTTTCCGAGTCGTATAATTGTGGTTACGATCCTCCGAATCTGGCACCCCCCTTCTTTTTATCGAAGTACGGTCCTGTACTAAGGATCGACTGCGCGAACTAGAGCGGGGCCTCCTCGGAGAAATGCTTCGACTGTGCCGACGTGAATGGGACCTACGATCTCGCTCCTGCCTGTTTAGTCTATCGCGAAGCTCATTAATTGTTTTTTGTAAGTCTCTACGCGATAGTTTGTCGCTGGATCGGCTTCTCTTGCGTTTCCCCATGCTGTAAAACAAGCCCTGTGGAGAAATAGTTGCTCACCAGAACGATTTTAACGTGATTAGTATATAATAGTTCACTTTCTCGAATTAACATTAAATGCACAGCAAATAAACTAGGAAGCCTTGTTCGTGAAATTGAGAAAATGCAAAAGAAAAATCTGGGACTGTGCCAATAAAAATATCATTATTTCGTATTATCCTGATGTAACAGAACATTCTATGAATGTCGTGAATAGCAAAATAATACTATCATACCTGTACTATTGGTTTTTCGTCTGTTGCGGAGCCGGGCACTGAAACTACACGTGTGGACGCGACGCACACATAAAAGCGAATGAAACGGGGAGGCAGTTACAGCGGACGGCGGCGAGCGGGAAGAACATATCCGCGCTCGCGCTACTATCCATCTTAAAAATGTGTGGCGCGCAGTACGCATGGGCGTACTACCTTAGTTAAATACATCTTCGGAATGGACGTGAGATATAATTACCAATTTATGATCTAGAAATCCACACCAAATGTAAACAAACCACATCCTCTATTTCCGGGTCCTAAAACATTCACCTTTTATTCATCGTCTAGATATTATAAGCCATACTCAAAAATACCTATTAAAGAAAATATTTGCGAAACTTGTTATATTTCATTTTTATTTGATCTGGAACACGTCTAGAATCTCAATTGCTCTTGAAGTGTTGCCGAAATGAAAAAAAAAACGGAATCGGTAAATGGTGTCGTTTAAATCGGTAGGAGAAAAAATCTGGGTCGTCCCAAGATCAGTGGTTTGAGGGCATAGTTCTATATTACAACTTGTACAATGTGCAAACTGGTAGCTCTTTCAAAGCCCTTTGCACCATCCTGGAAACTCTTTATTCGCTTCTTGCTTATAGGATTGTCAATATTTTTCTGTTTTACTCTTTAACTCATAAACTCACATAACATTTTAGTTAAATATTTATTTTGAAAAGAGACAGGTTCCTGTTTCCTTGTTGCTTGTCCGGTGATGCGGTAATGAGTGTGTATGCATATGTATAATTGATATGAGGAATAAAACGACGAAGACTATATAACATTCACTTTTAGCTTTGTTTTTGGCTCCAGCTCTTTTTCGGAAAGTATGGAAATATTTTAATTATTTTGAAAAATCGTGGTAAATGACGTTTTCGGTAAATACTCTCATTTCGATTAAAATTACCGAAAAGTCCAAGTTTTAACATGCATAGAAAATCTGAAACTTGCAATATGCATTTATATTCTTTTGAGTTTATCCAGAAATTGTGAACATGAGATATAAGGGATATAAAAAGTGATAACAATTTATTTACATATAGAAATTCAAATTTGCTTAAAATAAGTACACCACCACCCCAGTTTATACGTGCACTTATAATATGAATGATTATTGAAAGCAACTTTAACTATTTTTCATATCCATTCATATTCGTCAATATTTCATTTGAAGCTGCTATTTTTGATAATATACTAAGTGACATATAAATCCGAACACCCAGTTTAAATGGTTTCATTTTAATAAAATTTTGTATAAGTACTTAATGAAGCATAATAAGTAAATGATAAAAATTTCAAAATGATTGCACTGCTTTAAAGCCCTTTGACCTTAAATAATGTGTGGATGCACCCTGATATGCTACGCATTGTCCAACGCGCCTAGGCATGCTTCTGATCAGGTGGTCAATGTCCTCCTGTGGTATCTCATTCCAGGCAACCACCAACTCCTCTCGAAGTGCTTCTAGAGTCTGAGGAGGACGTTGCAAATTGAGCAATCTCCTACCCATCATATCCCACACGTGCTCAATTGGGGATAAGTCGGGAGATATTGGTGGCCATGGTAACAATGTGACATCATTATGTTGAAAGAAGTCTATTGTGACTCTTGCAACATGTGGTCGGGCATTATCTTGTTGGAAAGTTGGATCTGCCAGGGTGTCAAGATAGGGTAAAAGATGGGGTTCTAGAACTTCGTGGATATAACGCTGCGCGTTCATGTTACCTCTGATGAGGATTAGAGGTGACCTGGAACCATAAGCTATAGCACCCCAAACCATAACTCCAACAGTGTGATGAACATGTCTTTCAACAAAAAACTGTGGATTCCTCCTTTTACCACGTCGCCTTCTAACCCTGGCACGACCATCGTGCATGCCTAAACAAAATCGAGACTCGTCACTAAAGACAATAGTGTTCCATTCCTGATCCCAGAGTGACCGTTGTCTGCACCACTCAAGGTGATTACGTAGGTGTTCTCGAGTTAAAGGGAGGACCCAGTGTGGCCGGTATGAAAACAAGCCAAAACTTCTCATTCGTCGGTAAACACTTCGCATGTCAATAGGTCTTCCGTGTTCTGCAAACCATTCATTTGCAATGGACCTGGTAGTGGAGAAACGGTCCCTTAAGGCCAATAATCTTAGGCGGCGATCTTCACGGTCTGTTGTTCTACGGCGGCGTCCAGTGCCCATTGCTCTTTGCGTACGGCATTCTCGAAGCCATGCCTGACAACACCTAACCACAGTGTCTACACATCTTTGCACTCTAACTGCAATTGCCCGAAAAGAAAGTCCAGCTTCCCGAAGTCCCATTATACGGCCCCTATCAAACTCACTAAGTTGACGAAATCGTACAGGTCTCGGTACTCTAGGCATCGTAACCGATCGTAAAGGATGTCAAGAACCAAAATCCGCCAACGTTGATTCTTTACTGCGGCTGAAATATTCATTTTTAGAGCGTTAGTGAATTAAAAAAAGCAGTATAAAAACCGGAATGTCCAACTGATAAGGCCGAAAATTTTTTCACTTGTTATTTACAGTAAGATAAATACATTCACCAACTTTAATTAAAATAAAACCATTTAAACTGGGTGTTCGGATTTATATGTCACTTAGTATATTTTAGCAAAATGTAAAATACTAAAGGTAGCGAAAATATCCAGTGGGCTGTCAACACCGCAGCCCAGTTGACAAGTACGACAGCTGTCTAGATAAATGTTTAGCCCGGGGTACCGACGGAGCCATTTGGGACGTCATGGCGTTAATTTTAAAATTTTCATTTGCATTTTGCAACGATTTCGGGAGAAATTCCACTAAGGTACGAGTAAATTCCAACAGTTATCCGGGTTTGCTCCACTGGGCCCGAGCCGCTTAATCGAATTTAAAAAAAACAGATTATTCAATCAACGTTATTTTTGACCATCCCTAATCTATTTTTCACGAGTATCCAATAAGTTTTCTTTCTTCTTTCAAATCATTGAGAATTTAGACAATAAAATGTATGGAGTGCAGATAAAAAATGTTTATTACAAAATTATTTTGCATTGCATTGCCCTTTCTAATATGTGATTTTTTTGCTAGTATCTTTTTGGCAACACTGTTTTTGACAGATAACGCGTGAATCGTATCTTGTGTCATTGTCAAACTTGTTCAGTTTGGTCTATAATTTAACCATGAATCGACTTACGAACGAACAACGCTTGCAAATTATTGAATTTTACTATCAAAATTCATGCTCGGTTAAGAGACTGCATCGAGCACTGCTTCCAATTTATGGGCAATTTGGTCGGCCTACTGAGGGAGCTATTCGGAAGCTTGTGACTAAATTTCGAACCCAGTTTACATTATTGGACATTAAACCACCAACACGCAGACGTAGAGTGAGGACTGAAAAAAATATTGCGGCTGTATCCGTCAGTGTTAGTGATGACCGTGAAATGTCGATTCCCCGCCGTTCCCAGCAATTGGGCCTCTGTTACTCCACTACGTGGAAAATTTTGAGACAGGATTTAGGTGTATAACCTTATAAGATACAGCTGGTGCAAGAATTGAAGCCACACGACCTCCAACAACGTTTCCAATTTGGTGAATGGGCGCCGGCAAAATTGGAGGAAGATCCACATTTTTATCGAAAAATTGTGTTCAGCGACGAAGCTCATTTCTGGTTCAATGGGTACGTTAACAAGCAAAATTGCCGCGTCTGGAGTGAAGACCAGCCAGAAGCATTGCAAGAGCTACCAATGCATCCCGCAAAAATCACTGTTTGGTGTGGATTATGGGCCGGTGACATCATCGGGCCGTACTTCTTCAAAGACGACAATGGCCGGAACGTAACTGTGAATGGCGAGCGCTACCGTGCGATGATAACAAACTTTTGTTTGCCCAAAATGGAAGAGCTGGACTTGGCTGACATGTGGTTTCAACAAGACGGTGCCACATGCCACACCGCACACGAAACAATGGCCCTATTGAGAGGCGAGTTCGGTGAACAGTTTATCTCACGTTTGGGGCACGTCAATTGGCCGCCTAGATCGTGTGATTTAACGCCGTTGGACTATTGCTTGTGTTAAGGCTAATGTCTACAGGGATAAACCAGCAACGATTGATGCACTGGAAGCCAATATTGAAGCATTTATTCATGAGATACCGGCCGATATGTTGGAGAGAGTGTGCCAAAATTGGACCATGCGCATGGGCCATCTAAAGCGGAGCCGTGGCCAACTATTACATGAAATAATCTTTAAACATTAAATTATATCGACCGTTCTATCGACTCAAATAAAGATTTAATCGTTTTTTCAAAATTTTTTGTTTTTTTTGAAAATCAAATCCTATATCTCTTAAAAAATCACCTAGCCTTAACTTTACCTGGAAACATACGTAATACGGACACGTGTTTCTGGTTAATTGTCCCTCATCAGTGCAACGTAATCCATATATAGGTCAAATATCTGCAGAACTCATCATAAATATTAATAATGAATACGCAGATGTAAAAGGAATTGATCTGATTACGTCAATCTGCAAATTAAATAGTTACAGACACGCCATTCACGGACACTTCACTGTCCTAGTTTAAAACATTTCATGACTCCCTGTACCATTTCACTTACATTTTTCTGTACAAACATGTACCATTTCACTTAAATTTTTCTAATTTCTAGGTATTTAGAGTTACCTGAGTAATGTTCAGACCTAATTCAAGAAATCGAAACTCTAT